TCTCTTTCCCCCGTAGCCTCAGGCTTCATCAGATAAGAACAAAGAAAGTAATAACTGACAGCATGTTCTTCATTAAGTTATGTTAAACCAGGTTATGTTGAAAGGCTTATGCTTAAAGGTGTATGTTGGGTGGATTATCAGATTACCAGGGAGGAGCTACTTGCAGGGTGGATGGTCATAAGATGTTTAGATGGATTAATGAGGTCATTGCTGTATAGTGCACATGCACAAGATTGCCTATGTGAGCATGCCTATCAGAGATTGCCTCTATAAACCAACAGCGAATAAAGAAAGCTCGCCATTTTGCCTGAGCGAGCAGATGGTCACCTTTATTTAAAACACAGTTTCAATAAGCGTGCTTATTCTTCCTGACATCGCTTTTCTGTGAGACCCTTATGGCAGCACATTCCCAACTACTTACCTAACAACGCCCCTACTCCTCCTGGCCACTGGCCTGAGGCAGGGATATAGGTTTTGTTGTATTAAAAAAAAAAAAAAAAAGTAAGGGGCTTTGAAGAGACAAACATTTTTTTCCTTTTTTTTTTAATTAAATGATAACTATGTACAATAATGCAATTCTGGGGTACAGTGTGGTGTTTTCACATACCATTTGAAATATTTTCATCAAACTGGTTAACATAGCCTTCATGTCATTTTCTTCATTATTGTGTTAAGACGTGCATATTCTACTCGTAGAAAGATTCACTTGTACCCTTGTAAGATAAACCATAGAAGTGATCCCTCCAATCACCCTCCCTCCACCTATTACTCCCACCCCCTCTCTCCCCCTCCCTGTATTCTTAGGCTGTTACTAGGTTATAGATTTCATATGAAAGCTATAAATTAATTTCATAATAGGGCTGTGTACATCGGATACTTTTTCTTCCATTCCTGTGATACTTTGCTAAGAGACAAACATTTTTTTTTCTTTTTTGCAGTTTTTGGCCGGGGCCAGGTTTGAACCGACCACCTCCAGTATATGGGGCTGGCGCCCTACTCCTTTGAGCCACAGGCACCACCCCGACAAACATTTTTAACCTCTTCCACTTCCCCCCACATCATTCTCTGTTACATATTTCCAGGCCTTTGTCTGTTATGGCAGCAGTGTTAGAGGCCCTTGGTTCTTAATCTGTTGGTATTTAAAAACTATTCCTACATCTCATCTTCCCATAGATAACACCTTGAAATAGAGCAAGAAGAAATGGCCTGCCTTTGAATTGTCAATAGGAATAAAGCCATACTCTGCAAAATAATATAAAGAGGTTTATTTTGAGCCAAATTTGAGGACCATGACCTGAGCAACACCCAAGAAGCCCTGAGCAAGTGGACTCTCAGTGGTGGTGCTACAGTTTGATTTTATACATTTCATGGGGACAGGAATTACAGGTAAAGTCACAAATCAATGTGTGGAAGGTATACATTGGTTTGCCCCCCCAAAGTGGGACATCTCAAGGGGGGCAGGCTGATTCCAGGTTATAGATGGGTTTAAAGATTCTTTAGCTAATAATTGGCTGAAAGAGTTGGTTTTGAGTTGGCTAAAAGAAAATCTTGAGATAAAGGGTCGGTTATTCAGAGACGAAGTACCAGCTGCATGCCCAGACTCACTCAAGTGGTTTGTTAAGTGCACTGAGGACCTGCAAGTAGTTCCTACATAGTCTGAGGACTGTTAAGGAGTTAAAGGGGATGTCTCTAAGAAAGGGAAGGAGGCATGATGAGACAAGTCTGATCTTTCTCTTGGCCAGCAACTCAGTTTTAGGTGATCCCCTTGGTCAAGTGGCAGGGTCAAATCACCTGCTGGGGGGAAGCCTTAAGATTTTATTTTAGTTTATGGAATTGTGCTATTTCAAGTGAATACCAGCCTGAAGATTTAATATACAAAATGGACAGAAATATTACAGTTGCCAGGAAAAACTGGAAAGGCTTTGAAATGGACAAAAGGAGTTACTGGATGTTTGGTTGTGCGCCTTTCATTGTCTATGAGCTATTTTTCAACAGTGTAGATTTTCAGAAAGGGTTAATGCAAACGATGCTTGTTCATAGAAACATAAATAAGAGAAGGCAATGAGAGGATATGAGGGAGGGGGCGTAAGATGGTGCCCGGTTCAGGCCCAGGGACATTGGGAGGTTGTACGTATGCGCCTTGGGGCGTGAACACTTTCTTTTCCCCTAAAATGAAGGGAAATAATAAACACTCTTGAGGGGGTGAATCATGAGGGAAGTTGGAGTTGAAGGTCTTTGCAAAATGTTTAGAGAGCCAGAGGTTGGCAGTGGGAAGGCTGCTCCAGGCAGTGACCCTGGGGGAAGAGGCAAAAGCTCCGGCAGCCTGCGGGGAGGCGACAGGCGCAGCCCCAAGGGAGGGAGGGACGGAGGGAAACTGGGGGAGGAGGGTTGCGGGGGATGAGGAGGGCCCAGGAGAGTGCAAGGTAGGCAGCGGCGCGGGGGCGGTCCCAGGTGAGGGGATGAGGGAGCCCAGCCCCGCAGTGGAAGGACTGGAGGGGCCTGGACGTCCTTAGGGGCGGGGTGCGGTGTGGCAGCGGCAGCATGGAGGCTGGGCAGGGAGCTGCAGGTAAGGGGTTCGCTGCCGGCCAGGCCCCAGGCTCCGGGGCCCTCCCCGCATCTCGGGTTTCAATGGCTCGCCCCGCCCGAAGCTCTGCGCCCCAGCGCTGCAAAAGCAGCTGGTAAACAGAGTGCCTCGGCCAGAGAAAGTTTCCCCGGAGTTGGTGCTGCGGTTTCCCGAGCCGCGCACCTGTTGCTGCCGGGGCGGGAGTCCTACGCTTACCCCCTGGAGCCTTTAAGTCCCAGGCAAACGGGAAAGGGGAGAAAATAATCCCAGGAGCCGGAGGAGGAGCTGCCAGACGCGGACTCCACGCGCGACCCTGACCTGGGACCTGGCCTGGGTCGCGGCTTCTGCCCGCCCTCCCTGGGGCCACCGGGCGTCAAGACCGCTGACCTGGGCTTGCTCCCCAGAGTTGGGAGCGTGTGCGAGCCTCCTGCTTTCCCAGAGCCTTGGTGGCTCTGTCTGTGCAAGGTGAAGCGCACAGGGTGGGACAAGTCGTGTAGCAGCTCGGCGTGCGGTGGACGCCCCTCACTGCGGCGATCTGCGGGGCGTGCGGGGGGGTGGGGTCACTGGCACCCCAACTGCGGGCCAGTTCTGGCCTTGGAGCCGGAACCTGCACCCGGCCCTCTTTCGGGAGAACCCTAGAAAGCCCGCAGGGCGCCTAAATCTGAGAGCACGTGGAGTAAAACACCAGCGGGCTTTCTGGCAGCCCCTAAAGGAAGGGGCTCTTGGATGGGACCTAGGGCGTTGGATGCTGAGAAGGTGCCTCCTTCCCTCCTCATCCTCCCCTTCTTGGGGGCACGGGTGTGGGAGCCGGGACTTGGTTTCTGAGAAAAGAAGGGCTCCATCACCCCATCCCCCACGTCTAGCCCAGCCCTATTGGCGCCCTGGCTGCAGGTGGTCGCCTCTCCCACCCGCCCAGCAGTGAATCTCAGACTCTCTTGTTCCCACCACCCATCTCTATAAGGGAAAAATAAATCGTGTAAAGACTTGTCTGCCTTTTACTAGAAGGCAGCCGCAAGGGCTAGTTGCTTTGATGACTTGTATTTGAAAACTGACTTTGAGTTGTTTTTCTCTGATTTTAGGTCAGTTAATAAGACATTGCTAATTGTGCAGATTAAGCACGTTCCTCGTGAACATTTTAGTTGGCCTAGAGAATGAGAAAGGGTTTTGTCTTTTGTTTTGGAGAGGGAGATACTATTTCTTTTTTGATTTTTTTTTTTTTTTATTGTTCCGTATGGCTTTTTCTAGAAAGTTAGTCTTCCTGGCTATGGATAGTGACTGCTATTTCTAGTTTACATGTTGGACAACAATGCAAGGAAAACCACTGGCTTTTAAAATCTCACCATCCTCATCTACAAAATGGAAGTGATTTTGCCCATTTAGGGGCTGACTGTACCGCAGTATTACACAGAGGTGGTCACAGAAGTTCCTTCCCCTCTGCCTGGGAGCGATTCCATGAGTCAGAGGGTTCCTCCCAACTCTTGCTTTAGAAATCTTTTTTTCTACCTAGTCTCCTTGCATTTTAATGGGAAAAGTAATGGTAATTTCATCTCCTGGAAGAGTATAGTTGGCTTAAAACAGTTTAAAGATTTTCCTGTGTTTTTGCAACGTTTGCTGCAGTTTTGATGGTCACTGATGGCCCAGATGACACACAGCAGTTGCACATTAATCATTTCCACATGTGCTAGGTCCTAATGGGTTGGAGTTTTGCATAGCTGAACTGTTGCCCAAGCTTTGATAGCCCATTTCCCCAAAAGGCTTGAGCAAATCATGTCTACTTGGGAATCCTATTTTCTTTAGCAAGGAAGCATGAAACTGAGAATGATGCCTTCAGGTAAGGCTGCATCCCTAGTGAGCTCAGGTGGTGAAATACAGGGAAAGGCCTGGGATATCCCCCTTGGGCATCTGCAGGAGGCTTCTCAATATTTCTGTGTCTGGTTTGGCGGGAGTGTGGTATGACAATCCAAAGGGCCTTGGGGGTATCCCCAGTAATTGATCTTCTAGACCTGCCCCAGGGCCACATCCATAGTTATTCCCCAGACCCTCCAAACTCCTACCCTCTTCCTCCCCCCTCCCCCCAGATTTCGGAGAGTGTATGTGTTTTTAATTCCCCTGATGCTGAAGACCTTCTTAGGTTCCACCAGACCATCTGTTGCTGTCATTTCAGCTTGAGTACAGTGGAAAGAAAAAAGAAAGACACAGCCCTATTCTGTTACTGACCTCATCCTTTGCCTTGGACTTCCCTCATCTATAAAATAGACTTGACCTGCTTGTAAGGATTTCGTGAGACCCTATGTGCATAAAGAAAGGCACAGGGTCCATGGTTAACTGAGAAGGCCTTTTGTTCTGACCACCTCCCTTCTGTTTACACACAAAACTAGCCTTTGTGTATTTAATGATCTTCATTTACAAAGTCAGATTAGTGTTTGAATTTTGAAAATTGTGTTCTGACAATTTGCACTGGTACTAAAACAGAGCGGGCTGGTAGGCAGGAAAGCTAGCAAGCAAGGAGGAAAACCAAGGGCAACTCAAGCTTGGGTTGGGGGATGGGGGACAGAGACTGTGGTGATGCCCCTAAGGGAACTGACTCTAAGGAGGGTGAAACATGATGCAATGGAGATGTAATGACTGCAGGATATGCAGGCCATGCCTCCCACTGCAACTGTGGAGAGTTTTGTCACAGTGTAGGAGGTATCAAGCAGAGAGTTCTAGAAAGGCCAGTGCCTTTGTCTGAACTCTGCTGGGGACCCTGGTACTTAGTGGAAAGAGCAGAGCAGATAGAAGTCCAGAAAGGCTGTCCCTTGGGCTATGAACAGATGAGGAACTGGAGGACAAAGGCAGATGGCTCCAAGAGGGAGGTGTGTGAGGGCCTGGTTTTGAGAAAGGCCCAAAGGAGGGGAGAAGAGAAAGAAAAGAATCCACGCTGAAGGCATGCAGGTCTAAAGTGGCCCAGAAGGAGAGAGGGTAGGGGAGGAAATATCTTTGGACCCTGCATGGGGGCTGGTACAACTGCCATTTCAAAAGAGTTTGCAGGGACAAGAAAATGGGGAGGCTGAGCTTGAGGAGATGTAAAGGTGAGGACAGGTGGCTTTCTCCTTGCATTTTTTGGATGTAGGAGGCTGGAATACATGTCAAGTGAAGTAACTTTAAGGAGCACTTAACTATATGCCAGGTATTGCATAAGCCCTTTCTAAGCATTGGTTAACTGATTTTAACAGTAAACAGTAAATGTAGATACACTGTCCTCCACTAACTGCGGGGATATGGTCCAAGATTTCCCGTGGATGCTTGAAACCTGGGATGGTTCTGATCCCCGTATATGCATACTCCCATGGATTTCTTTTTGCTTCTTTGCAATTTCAGGGGTAGATCTTAGCAGGAGTGGGATGGTGCAAGATTTTGTTGCCCTACTCAGAAAGGCACATAATTAAACTTAGGATTTGTTCATTTCTGGAGTGTTCCATGCAATATTTTCAGAGTGGTTGACTGCACGTAACTAAAACTGAGGAAAGTGAAACTGTAGATATGAGGAGACTGCTGTGCTAAGGCACAGAAATGAAGTCATTTGCCTAAAGTCACTTGGCTAGTGAGTGACTGTTAGGATTCATGCCTTGGAAAGCCAAGTCCAGAGTGGTCTCCCTAATGGCCCGAATGTCTGTATAACCCTCTCGCGTTGAATTCTTTGCCAGATAGTGGTAGTTACACTATAGAGGGCTCGTTTTCACCCCATTTCTAGATGTCAGGGGTGATATTATATTTGTACAAATGGAGATCTCCATGGCATGAGCTTGAACTGGAGATGCCTGCTGTCCTGACCCTGTCTATA